GGACCACCTGATCTGGTCGGTGTTCAGCACCCTCTACCTGAACCTCTGCTGCCTGGGCTTCCTGGCGCTGGCCCACTCCATCAAGGTGGGCGGGGCTCGGGGGGCCGCCCCGAGGGCGCCCCGTGCGGGCTGGGGCGCCCCGCTCGCGAGCACGGAGGCATGGGGGCTTTTCCGATGCTGGGCTCCTCGGAGCAGAGCCTCCTGGCCTAGCTTCTTTAGGGGGGCTCGGCGCCCCAGCAGACTCCCCACTCGCCCAGGGTCCTTGGAGGCTTTTGCTGGCCTGGGAGGAGGCAGGGGCCCCTTCCGGCCCCACCCTAGGCTGAGGATCCCCCTCCCCCAGGGTCAACCCCCTGTGTCCAGATGGGGCAGTGAAGGGAGTGGGTGGAGCCCAAGGCAACGTGCCCCTCAGGCCACAGCCCTCCATCCAGATTCTGGGTTCAGCTTGGCCCTTCCAGGTGTGAACCCAGTGCTGTCGGGTGGGGGAGGCGGGATCCCCCCAGGCACCAGCACATGTAGAGACCTGGCCCTGCTGCTGTCTGCAGGCCCGAGACCAGAAGGTAGCTGGAGACCTGGAGGAGGCCCGGCGTCTGGGCTCCAAAGCCAAGTGCTACAACATCCTGGCCACCATGTGGGCCTTGGTGCCGCCTCTGCTGCTCTTGGCGCTGGTGGTGACCGGTGCCCTGCACCTGTCCCGGCTGGCCAAGGACTCCGCCGCCTTCTTCAGCACCAAGTTTGATGACCAAGACTATGACTGACAGGCTGGGCCCTATCCCTGGTCTGACCCAGAGACCCGGGCCACAGGACACCAACCCCCAGGGCGCTGCCCCAGGGGCTGCACCTGAACCTCCTGGAACCCGACTCTACTATAGGGCCTGATGCCCACTCCCAGCTCCAGGCCAGGAGCCTAATGCTGACCCCGAAGATCCCCTTTTTGGACCCCAGGGGCCTCACCCTAACCCTGATGGTCCCTCATCCCCTAACTCCCTGCCCAAGCCAGACCCTCCCTCCCCACTTACCAGGCTCAGCCTGGGTTCACAATTAAAAGTGCCTGGTTCCAGAAGGTTCCATTTGGGCCTAGTTCCTGGCCAGGGTGGGGGAGGTTATCTTCCTGAGGGGAGCCAATCTAGGAACACCCACAGCCAAACTCCCTGGATGGACCCCAGTATCAAATGGTCAGCCCATTTAGAATGTTCTGTTTTTGGCTGTGGTCTCCGCCTGTCCCCTTGGGCACTGGGTGGCCTGCGGCTTCTGGGCGGAGGCGCCTGAGTATTTTAGAATCGAGTTTGGGAACGCAAACTTTTCATCTCTGCTGCCCTGCTGGGTGCTGTGGTTTAGTGGCCTGCCTTCCAGAGCACGAATGGTTTGTCTCCCGAGTCCATGTGTGTCCATCCCATTTGCGTGTGTGCATGCCTGTTTGTGCATTTGCCTGCATGCAAGGCAAGTGGGAGTCCCTGGTCAGTGAGGGCTTTCCTGCCTGTTCCTGTCTGTGGGTCAGCCGTGTGCCGATCTCCTTTGGGGGCACTGTGTCGGTCCCCATGACCCCTGCATCCCTTTAATTCTGAGAAATGCCAGCTCCTGCAGTGGGTCTGTATGGCTGGACACACAGACAGGCACACATAGACATGGTGACACCATTCTCCATGCACAAAATCTCACTCATGCAGGTGGGATCAACCCCGACCCACATAGTTGTGCAGAGAGGGGGATGTTGGGAGGTGAGGACATTTTCTGGACATCCTGGTGCTAGATGCATGTCCTTGTATGTCACCTCCCTTGTACACTCCCTGAACCAGTGGTCTGGGAGAGGAGGGTTGCTAAACACATGCGCACACCCTGTGTGGCTGGGGGTAAGGTCCCCTGGGCCTTGCTGTGGCTGGGCCAATGACAGGGCAGGCTAATTGCAGGGGCCTTAAGAACAGGGTGGTTCAGGATTTTGAGCACCCCACCCAGGGTCCCATCCCCAGGGAGCCCCCCTCGCCTGCCAGCTCTGCCTGGCCTGGGGGTGGAGGTCTGTTTAACTGCTGTACTTGGAGTCCCCAAAGTACCCCCTTCCCTCCCCTCCCTGTGACACCCAACAGCTGGCCTAGCTATCTCCAGTGTACCAGCAGAGACAGCACCCCAGGCCACAGGCCCACAGCATTCCAGCCTCAAGCTGAGGAGTGTGCGCTGTCCTGAGCCAGTCCCCGGAAGCAGGGGTGTGTGCTGGTTGGGGCCTGGTGATGGAGACACAGCACTGGCTTGTGCTGGGCACTGGTCCCATGTTGGAACAAGGACAAAGACAGTGTGCCAGTGCTTGGACCAGGATGGAGATAGCCTGCCAACTCCAGGTTTGGCCCAAGAAGGGACCAACACATGCTGGGTAGAGAGGCTGGGAGCAGGGGTCAACCTGTGTGTGGCCAGGTACATGTCCCCAGCGTGGGGCGGTCTGTGGGTTGTGAAGACTGTCCAGCCTGTGCCCCGGTGCTGAGGACAGAGTGTGTGGTCAAGCCAGGTGGGGTAAGGTCACCAGCACCCAGGCTGTGTCCTGGGCAGCCCGAGGGACCCTGATCAAGTTTAGGCCATTGGCTATCAGGGGCCCTGAGTCCAGCATGCATGCACTGCCACCCACAGTCCCTCAGAGGGTTGCGTCACCCTGCTATAGACACAGGTGGCTGTGTACTGATGGAACATGATACTGCTGCACCTGGCTCCAGGGCTGCTGCACTGGGACAGTCCCTACTGCTTTAGCAGGCCTGCTGGTACCTCCGATGGTGAAAGAGAGCCTGTGGGCACCTGAGAGCACCACCAAGGGCCTCGGGGAGCTGGTACTGATATGCGTGCTGGTTTGCAACTTGGCCACCTCCCTTGGACGCCACTCTGTCCCCTGTGCTGCCCCTCTCCCCGGCAGCCACAGAGTTGGGCCTAGGATCCCAAAGGCCTCTACCCTCCTCCATCCATCACAGTTTGTCTGCCTGGTGTCTGCTTCTTGGAGGACTTGGACTACTTCTGTCCAGAACACACATGGTCAGAGGGAGGAGGGTGGGAGGGGCTGGGGTGACAGGATCCACCTATTCACTCTAAGGGAGCAAGTTACTGGTTGAAAACTTGATCCATTACCTCCCTCACTTCCAGACGCAGCTTTTCCCAGCCCCAACTTTAACACCTCAGGCAGAGCCCTTACCAAGATTTCCATGGCAGATGACACCTCACCTCATTCTTGGGAAACCCCTGAGGACCTAAGTTTGAGGTGCCAACTGTGGGGCTGAGGCCCCAGCAGAAGCTGGGCAGAGCCTCCAGCCCAGAGCAGCCTTCTCAGGACAGATGGGCCCAGGTCCGCAGCCTTGAACCCGTGTGCACTTGGCTCAGTCCTTCTGGCTGGCCAGAGAGGAGATATGGGGTCTTGCTCTGCACCCCACTTGGCCGAGGAAAGGCATGTGATGGGGATGTCCAACCTGACTGGAGTGGCCGAGAGGCCAGAGGAGTCAAGGACTGAGGATGCTGAGTTCCCAGGACAGCCCCAAGAGCACCTGGATCCAACCATGACGGATCCTCACTATCGTGACATAGAAAGTTCTTTGTGGTGAGGCTGTGGCTGACAGAGTAATTCCACAGGGCGAGCTCCCCCATTCAGGGCCCAAGCCTGCCTCTGCCTCCAAGGCAGAGCTGTCTGCCCCTCTCCACCCTCCCTGGGGAAGGGACTTGAGGCACAGTGTGTGTGAGTGTGTGTGTGCGTGCAGGTGTCAGCCTAGAGGGGCAGAAGCAGACATGCTGGTGTGGGAGGCAATGGGTAAGCCACCCATCCATGCGTGTTTAGGCAGAGAAGGGCTCTGGCTAGAGGCAGTCTTGAACTTCAGGCCAAAGAGTCCAGATCTTTCCTGGAGCCCATGAGCCTGGCTGCCAGGGAAAGGGTAAGTGGGAGGCAGATGGCAGGTCAGGAGGGTGACCAGGAGGAGTGGATGCAGCTGCATAGGGGTGCCAGAGGGGAGGACCCCAGAGATGTCCCTAAAGCCAACAGCACTGCTGGTTCAGGGGCAGGGCCCAGGACAGCACCACATGAGGGACTCTGTGGGGTTAGAGTGCCCAAAGGTGTCCCACAGGGGGTACTGTGGGCTCCAATGTCTTCAAAAGTTTCTCCCAGGATATTCTTGGAGCAGAACTTGCTGCCTCTGCTTCCTACAAGAGTGACCTTTGTATCCGGCCAGCAGAACAGGGGAAGGAGACCTTGTGTCCTGCAGGAAGAGGGAGCCACCCTGGGGGTGAGGGCACACACTGAGGCCAACCTGGGGGTCACAGGCCCTGGGCCCCTGGGTGGGTCTGGGGGTAGGAGCCTACCTGGGGGCAGGGGGAGCCGAGCTTGTGATGGCCACAGCTCGATCTCCAGTGGGGGGGCCCAGGGCCCTGCCTGGGTCCTGACCTCAACCATCACAGAGCCCTCGGAGAAGGAAAAGTCAAGCTTGTTCCCCTGGTAGCAGATGCCAGAGACACACACACCAGAGACGCCGGCCGGACACATGGGGTCAAAGGTCACACCAGCCCTGGTGATCCTGGGAGAAGGGGAAGGTTCTGTGAGGATGGTGGGCAGGGGCTGGTGACCACCTTCTGCTGGTCATCCCACTGACCTGAACCCAGTGAACCCGAAGAGCACCGCCTGCAGGAAGCCCCCCATGCCTGTCAGGAAGTTCACAGCACCAGACCCGTCTGCATTCTCTGTCCACACCTGCAGGGGCAAGGCAGTCAGTGACAGGATCTCCAGGTCATAGGCCCTCCCAAGGCCACTCCTCGAAGGTCAGGTGTGAATCGCCAGGGCTGTGACCCTGCTGTGACCCCTGAGGTTGGGCTCCCACTCCCACCACCCAGGGGGCCGAGCAGGAGGCGGGTGTGGTCTAGGTCCCAGCTGAGGCTGGGGCCAGACTGGCCTTGAAGGGCTCCGTGATGTTGGCGAAACTCCTTTCCAGGAGGTCCCACGCCCGCCTTGGGTCCTTCAGCTCCATCCAGCCCACAGCAAACATGCTCTGGGGTCAGAGGTTAGAGGACAGGCTGGAGTGAGATCTACTGTGTAGGGGAGGGGAGACAGGCCATTGGGGCAGGGCTGGGGCCACCATGAGGACCACCACCCATCTTACCCAGGTCATGGCCGGGCCCTGGGGGGATGTCACAGCTTCGTAAATTTCCAGGTTTTTCTTGCGAACTTGAGGGCTCAGGGAGAAGGGGATGGGGTACCCCAGGAGCACAACATCTGCCTGTTTCACCTCCTCTCCTGGGGGGGGAGGGACAGGTGCTGCTGAAGCGGGGAGGGGGAAAGAGGACAGGTACTCTATGTCGGAAAGGGCATCGGGAGAGAGAAGGGGCCTCGAAGGGGCTCTAAGTCGACTCACCAGGCTCATATCCATCAAACTCGGGGTGGAAATTCTGCTTCATGTCAAAGGGCACCTTGATCTTATCAGCCACCACCAGCCAACGGCTGGGGACAAGCCGACCCAGGTCCTGGGCCAGGGCAGCAGCAAAGCGCAGGCTACGGTAGAGGTGGGGAGAGGAGTTGCAGCTCTGGCGTTCTTGGCTGGCCCCCTGTACAGTGGGGTTGGGGTGGGATCTTGGGTCTGACCTGTTCTGGACCAGGACGTTGGTGTACACCGAGTTGTTAACCCCTGAATGGTATTCGTCGGGGGGCATGACTCCTGGGTACAAAGGGCAAGATGGTGCTTAGTGAGGGTCCTAGAGTCCTGCCCCATGCCACTGGCCAGTGTGGGGCTGGCAACAGCAGGTGCCGAGAGTCACATGCTTAACTGAGGAGCATCTACCTGCCCATGGCTCATGACCATCTACTCTTCCCCCATGACCATCCACTCCCCCACATGACCACCCTCTCCCCACCATGCCCTCACCCTTCAGGTGGTACTTCTCCTCTGCAGGGTTCCACTCTACACGGCTGCACCAAAACTCAGCCACAGCACTGATCACGTCCCAGCCACCAGCCTCTTGAAAGAGCTGCAGGTCCTGGGGGAGGAGAGGGTGAAACAGAGGCCACTGCACCCACAATTCTAGTTCCCAGTGGGCACTGCGTTCCTTGCCAATGTCCACCCTTCCAAGCACCCAGAAGTGAAAACTTGGCTCCAAGAGGCCTGGACTGGCTCCACACAGGAAATCTCAGCCAGGTGGGGGTGGATGGCCCCACTAGGAGTGGTCATACCTGGTGGGCACAGTGACACCTCACCTGAGTGCTGTGGTAGTACAGCTGGAAGGCCAGTACCACGGCCCCGTTGATGTGGATTTCCTGGGTCCCATAAATGTCTTCAGGGCAGACCTCCAGGCCAGAACCCGCGCTCTCCCAGGCAAACTTGGCTCCCTGAGGGTTGGGGGATGGTGCAAACCTGATTCTGTTCTCAAGGGGCCTGGGGGGTGGGTAGCCCACATATTTCCCAATACTCTCAGCCTATAGTCACAGAGGGCAGAGGTGGGGGCACCAACTACCCGGGTGCCCTTGTGGATGCCTGCTGGTTCTGAGTGGCCACTGCATGTCCCCAGTGTGGGTCAGGTGGTGTCTGCCCAGTTTCTCCTGTGTGCTGCCCTGGCGCAGGGCAGTGAGGGGACCCAGCTGGGTCCCAGACAGGCTGTTGTTCCCACCTGTACAATGCAGGTGGGGCATGCTGCTGAGCCCCTGTAAGAATCCAGGATGTCCTGGCCCCACCCAGAGAGGGGTCTGGAGACATCAAGCCCTCGGAGGGGCCTTGTAGGGTGGACACTCAGGTGTCCCTTACCTGGTAGCCCAGGTTCCGGGCATTGTCCAGGGCTCCACCCAGTGTCTGGATGCGGTACTGCAGGAGAGCCCTGGCCGCCTCTGGCTGGAACATGAGGACATTCGGGAACATCCAGAGGTCCTGAGAGCACAGTGAAGGGTGCCTTGTCCTCGCACTCTAGCACCCTTCTCCCTCTTCCCGCCCCCGTTATGCCCTGGCAGGGACTCAGAGACAGCACAGATGCTTGTTGCCCACCTGGGTCTGTCCCGGGCCCCCCTGCCTGCCCACCACACGTCCCCATCTCCAGCTCAGACCCTCTGGTCCTCAGCCCAGTGCTTCACCTCCTCAGTGGGCATCTGGGTCTGGCTGGGGGTTCAGGCCAGAATCTGGGTGTGGGTAGCCTGGGGAGGGAGCCTACTCCGTTGCTGCCTGGCTGCCCGGCCTGGAGTGAATGACAGCCTCTTCGAGCCCAAGGGTGAAGTGGCCATAACACTGGCTTCTCAGCCCCCCATGCCCACTGGCCACCAAGTCCCAGCTTCTCCTGGCTCCCACTCCAGTCCGAGACCTCACCGTCCTTCATCCACATTCCCTCAGCAGCTATAAGGGTCTTTCCAGAACATACATCAGCCCGTGTCACCCCCCAATGGCTCCTGCAGACCCCTCCACGACTGCTCTTCCTGCCTCGTGAGGCCCCCCTCCAGCCCTAGCCAGATGCCGTGCACTCTCCCAGCTCTGGGACTTTGTACCTTCTGGTCCCCTTGCCTGAATCACTTTTCCATCAAACTCCCACACATCCTTGGGCTGAGATGCCACCTCCTCCAGGAAGCCTTCCCCTTTGCCATGGCCCCTGTGCTTCCCCAACCACAGGCCCCATCCCAGGCAGGGCAGAGGCAGCAGCATGCCTGTGCCCTTAGCTGCAGGACCCTCTATGCCTGTGCACTGCCCACCCAGTGGCAGGTGCATGTTGGGGGAAGACGGTGCACACCTGGTCCCAGAACACATGGCCCCAGTAGCATTCCTCACGGCTCCCGTTGGAGAGGCCCCCAGGGCTGAGTCCGTGGCAGACATATCCTGGGCCCCCAGGCTCGGGCAGGGCGCTGAGTAGGTAGTAGAGGGCACCACGCAGGGCCTGGCGCAGGGGTAGGGGCCCCACCACATCCAAGCCACAGCCTTCCCAGAGTTGGGCCCAGGCCTGGGCATGGGCAGTGTACAGAGCGCCCCTGGCCTGCAGCTGCAGGGCCTCGGTGAGGCAGGCCTCGGCCTCAGCCTGGCTGCCACCCACTACAGTCAGGAACTCCCAGGTCCTGTCCTCCTCGCCTTCTCCAAGGGTCAGGGCAGGGGGCACTGGTGTCCACAGCATGTGTACCTCTTGCTGCAGTCCCCCAGGCTGCTCAGGGGTGAGTGTGTGGCCATACAGGTACCTGTAAGAGCACGGCTGAGTCTCAGGGACAGGCTTCCTCCTGGGCCACCCGGGGAGCCGCTGGCTCCCTACTCACCGGGCTCCCTGGAAGTCAGGCCCCAGATGCAGGTCCAAGTCTGGGCTTTCTGGGGAGAAGGCAGACCGCAGCAGCATGGTGATGGGCCAGCTCCCCGTGGCTAAGCGGGTGATGGATACACTGAAGGCCAGGACGTGTGGCAATGTGCGGTGGGCGTAGATGCGCTGGGAGGCCCGGAAGCTAGAGTCCTCCAGGGTGTGCAGAAAGGAGCCTGGGGTAGGCCGAGGGGGAGACAGGCAAGTCACATGCCTACCCCACTGAGGGCCAGCGAGAACAGTTACAAAGCTGCTGGTTTTTCTGCGCTGGGAGTGGAGTCCACCTCTACCCTCAGTGAGGTGAACCCACCTCTGGAGCCCAACTGCACTGGGGCCCCAGGCCCCTGGCAGTCTAGGAGTCCCGTGTCCCGTGTGTCATCGTCCCC